CCGTTAATTCATGAAATAAATAAAAAACCTAACCATTTTTTATTAATAAATGACAAACTCATTATAATCGATAACATTTCAGTTTTAATTATAATTTTTTATTATAATTGTCATTATAATTGGTTGATATTCGAATTGTTGTCGGTTATTGCTAGTTTTAAATTTTATCTAAGTATGTCGTCAGCTAACAATAAATGTGGAATTCAAGCGCAAGATTACGCAATGTGCGGTTTCACACAGTGCCACATCTATAAAAATGATTGACGCGAATTCATCGAGGCACACTCAGCAAAAGTCGTTTTTCATTGACAAAGAGAATAAGAGGCTCGACGGCGAGACGTTTATAATTAGCAAACATTTCGCGACTTGAACGATTGAGAGAGTAACCAGTGGATACACATCTTCTTGGCACACTATGCTCGACCACGAGGACGCAACCAACAGGTTTTTCGTAGTTAACCTATTCGAGACGCATTCGTGACGCGAAACACTCGTTGCCTTCAATTGTGGGTACACCGGGTGTCTCGAAATTATTTATTATCTCGCCAAGTAACTAAAGGCTACGAAAAGAAAAGTTTTCGTTCTCTTTGAATTCTTCTTGTTATTGTTATAAAGTCATAATCTTTATCACTTTGACAGAAATCTAACTGGCCAATTTATTACTAACAGATAGTAAATTAATTTATTTGGAGTACTAAAAGCTTTGAACAACAATGCTTTTAATATTTAAAATAAGAACTTAATTATTGTCTTTCAAAATCGGTCAGTGTGAGATTTTTATAAGGACTGAGTCTGTATTAGAGCTTCCAATAATCTTCTCTTACGTAAAAAAAATATTAATCATCTAAATATTAAAAATCGTAAACATCTCTACATAAAAAAAAATCAAATATTTCTGTCTTTCAGAGAACAATCGTATTAAATTTTCAATTTTTTTCATTTTTGTAAAGGTGTATCGTTTATGTGAAGATCTAGTTTTTCATCGATCACGCCCTGAAAAGAAACGTCTTCGGAACGTCCACATGTTTCTCGCCGGCCTTCAACTATTCCTCATGTTTCATAATTAATACGAGTACGCCTAATGCCTCTTAGTTGCAATCATGAAACGTCATCGATACTCAATATCAACGTCAGCAGCGTTGATAGGAATTGTTTATTTTCTGCTTGAGATGTTCGAACTAGTGAGAAAATATAGATACTCTTGAATGATAGAGCTATTTTTTAATTAAATTTTTTTCTTCCTTCTTGTAACTCCTCAAGAGTGCAAGCGCACTTTCCTTCTTTTTCCTCATCCCATTGCATTAATAGACCAGATTATGTTTGCAGAATGACGTCAGTGCGTATGATATGAGCAGTACATTCAGAATACGTATACACATACATATATAGTTTGAGATGATATTGTTTTCATCGAGATAGATCCTCCTAAGATATTTTAGACCTAATAAAATATTCTTATAAAGATATTTTCGTTTCCCAGCGCTATTTTTAGCTAAAGGAAGCTAAACTCAGCCACGTGATTGTTATCGGCTTTTATACGGATAATGCTTGCTGTTTTATTTGCTTTGTTCATTTCATCATATTTTGTCAATAAGAAATACTTCGGTTTTTATATATATATATAACTTTTTTAAAACAAATTGTATTAGTAAAAGTTACTTTTCCAGCTGAGAAAAAGGAATATGGATGAGGGTTAATTGCGCCCTCCTTCTTCTGCTGAAATGGTAAACGGTTAATTAAAAATTTATAACAATTAATAAATTTATTTATTTAAAATTGTATAGAGCTGATGAGAGTACAGCGTGACAGTTGGCGCAATTTAACAATCAATAAAAATTATATTTAAATTTATTTTATTGTTTAAACATTCGGCTTCAGTGAAATTGCGCTGTAACGAACAATAAAGTAAATCTAAATAAACTTTCTATTGATTGTTAAATTGCGCATCAATTACTGCTACACTCTTATCAGTCCTTTTGCGATTTTAATTTTCACTTTTTCGGGAATCCTGCATAGTCTTTTAAATTTATTTACATATTACATTAAAAAAAAATCTAATCGCATTAATTAAAATTTCAAGAATGAATGGTAGATTCAATCATAAAAGTTCAGATCAGATATTTATTGTGAAATCTATCATACATTCTAATTAAGATAATTAGAAATTCAATTATGATAATCAAAATTCTGATCAATATGATGATTTTGTTCATACTTGTTAATACAATCAGGACATTTTTCTCGGAGCAATTAATAATAAAATTTATGTCAGCCAGAAAAAAATTAGATAATTTCTAATAGTATGTATCAAATGTTCGCATTATTTCATTAATAATTTTGTTAAACTATTTTTATCTGAAATCGAGAGGCACTATAAAAGTTTAAGGTTGTAAATAAAAAAATTAGCAGATATTACGTAAACGATAATTAAATATTAAGCGATATTTTATTTAAGTATCCATTTTCTATTAATATCTAAAGTTGATTTCTCACAATACTGATTAATTTGTAACAGAAATTTTTTCTTTGCTTTTCTTTCGAAAATAATATTTTATCGAATCGTGCGGATGAAGATTATTTAATCGCATTAGAAATTTTATTACTCTTAAGTGCTTTAGCGGTTTTTTCTCTGAAAGATTAATGCGATTACGTAACGAGAAGCGCGCCAGTTGTTTTCATTGCAAACAAACAAACGTGGGCGTATCGCGTGTACACCGGCGAGATACGAGACTGTTAATCGCGATTAGTTTGAGACGCAATGATCTCGCTTTTTAAGGAATTTGAGATAATTACTCATTAATTCAATTTATTTTTTTCACCGGACCATTTTTGTATCGAAGTCCTCAAATTCTCACTCAGGACGAAAGAAATATAAAAACTCAGTGAATAATAAGTTCAACAAAACTAAAACTCTACTTCTTATGTACCAAGGGAGATCCGATCGCATAGGCTTGTCCACGAAGATGAGAAAATATGAAGGAAAAATTTAATGAAAATCCATTTTAAGAATTCTCATCTTCACATAAGGACAGATTTATTAATTAAACTGATTTGAGCCGACTTTCTATTATGTTAAAAAATGGAATTGCAGAGCCAGATAAATCGACGATTACAACGACGATCTAATGCGACCGGCATCACAGACAAAGAGGGTTGCTCCAGAAATTATGCGCTTACCTCGTTTGAGGGGCGCGACATGCATGACTCTTGGAGGGACCGATAAGAAGGGCGGATCGTGAGACCGCCTCTCATGACACCACGCCGCTACTTTTCAGTGCAACCACCGCCGTTCGCTCCTTACGCAGCTGCTGTCCTCGCGTCCTTCGTCGTCCTCGTCCACTCGCACCCCTTCTTCTTCTACCTCCCCGTCGACCTCTGCCCTTCTACTTCCGGGACCGGTTTCTGCTGTCCTCTCCTCTCGTCGTTCTTCTCAGCGTGTACTCACTCCTTTCTCCCTGTCGCGTACTATCTTTGTTCTCTCGTTAAACTCTTCTCTCGTTTCTCGCTCGTCCTCGCGACGACGCTGTTCAATCGGTCTGCTGAATTTACTTATTCGCGATATGTCGCTCTACAAGTCTTCTCTCTTCCGGTTCTCTCTCTCTCTCTCTCTCTCTCTCTCTCTCTCTCTCTCTTTCTCTTTTTTTACCTACCAAAGCTACCACTGTCGAGGGTCGAGGGAGTGGAGAGACGTGAGGGCAAAGCGTGAACCGGCGCGGTATGGCGCGGCGCAGCCCGGCGCGGCGCGACGAGACGCGCGCGTCGGAGAATTCGCTCGATACCAACGACGGAGCGACGCCACCGTGAATCCTTACTCCAGAATGGTGCGTAGCATCCATTGGTTATCCCTCACTTATCATGGACATCACGCGGCTCCTGCGTGCGGGAGACACGCAGGACGTCTGATCGTCGGCACTTAATTTCAATGCCACTATTGCCACTTTGTTGAACTCGTTTTCTGCATTCGGGGTCAGATGAATGTTTGCGTATGACCTTTGCAACAGAATCTTTATTTACCAATGTATAAATATACTATGTATAAATATACTATGTACAAATCTATTATACTAAAAAAAAAATTAACAATTTTAATGTTGATATATTTTCATTTTCTGTATACAGAAAGAATGGTTGTTGAAGCATCGAAAAATTTGGTTAAATATAGATTTAAAAATTATTTTGTCGGATTATTAATATTTAAAGTAATTATGTAAAATACTCGAGTTGGTTGTGAGAATAAAATTTTTTGCAGTATTGCACATCATGCTTGAATTTTTAACTGAATAATTATTTTAATGGTCCACTAAATATTTTTTCAGATGTTATCTAAATTTTTTAATAAATAGCAAAATTATTCTTTCTGTATACAGTACAACGCATTCATTTAGAATATTATATGTGCGATCGAATAATTTCAATCAATACTTAGGCCGATATTTATAGTCGATTCTTACTACCGTCTTAAGTAATGTCTTTATCGTAGGTGATTGATTTATGACGTGTCAAAACTGTACTTGAGATAGTTATAAATATAAAAATCAACTGTGAATACTAGTCTTAATCTTAGAATCGATCTAAATTGAAATTATCGCAAGTATTAAATATTCCCAAATTTTATATAGCATTATTATTGTTTGTACATATTTTTATTAATTTGAATTTTGCAATTTATATGCATTATTATTTATCAGAAATTTTTTAGAAATCTATTATGCTCTTATTGGTAAATTGTAGAAAAGATAATAAATGTGATTACAAATTCATTATACTCATTATAGAAAATATTTTCAATGCAGCTATTTTATCTCTTCATCAGTTGCAATCGATGCAATCTTCTTGATTAATCTGCTACAATATAGAAATATTAGTAAATATGATCACTTGTTTCATATGTTTTGATCGATGATCAAATTACTTCTATTAGTTATTGTCTTCTTGTGGTAGTCTTTTTCTCATTTTTAAGGATTTAAGGACCGGGTTTACTTCTTTATTCCGTGGGAATCCTGTTTTTAAGGAATTAAATTAATTTATTTTGTCAATTTGGAGAACGTCGCGTATGAACGCTACATGTACATATGCATATATATACTATGTGTACAAATGTATACATATAAATATATAAATGCGCGTTATTTGTATTATATATCATTATATAGTACACATTATCGATCGTTTCCTTTCTATCTTCCTTTCTCTTGTAAAGAGATCCTAGGCCAGAAAATGCATTATTTGGTTCATAGAAAACAACAATACGCGACATACATTCGGAAAAATTGTACAATTGTTTATCAATACATATGTATATATATATATATATATAGTTGTTAACAAGTAAATAACACGAAAAAAAGACGGAATGTTTTAATATGCGCTGATAAAGTTGCGATAGATGATGGTAGCAAGCACCCCAAGGGCAATTGGAATCAACCAGGACCACCAAGAACTGCAATTGCCAATCATCACATCACGATGCAGCATCGACTATTTACACATGATGATTCATATTTACATAATACTTGAACAAGAAACAGGCTTTCTGCCTGTATTTAAATGTAGACAGTATGAACACGTTCATATTTGATTTTATTCATGCAGGTGTTAAAAATTATTAAATTGATTTTGTCTATATTTTTGTCTTAATATATATTTAGCAAACTTAAAAAAAATGTATTTTTTTTTAACAAAAAGAAAGAATGTTAGTATGCTATTAAGGGTAAACTACTTAGAACTACAAGCTCTGAGTATGCTTAAGTATTTAATTGATCAATTGGTAGAATTTTACTAATTGAACAATCAAGGAATGCTTTGATGCATTTATAGCATCAAATGGATCATATTTTCAATCATTTATATTAAAACACTAAAGCTTTAGGAAATTACAGAAAATAAAATTAAAAAGAGTTTTTCAAACATAAAATTCAACTTTTTAACATACTGTACAATATTAGCATTGTAAATAAAGCATTAGCGTTGCTAAAACTACTTTCAAAGCATAGGATTGACTAAATAAGAAAGTTCTTAGAATTCGATAATGAATGAGTTCATTAAAAATTTACTGATAAATTCTTAATCATATGTAATCATAATACATTTGCACATTACAAGTGTAAAAATATCTGAATAAGATAACATTAGATAAAGTTGACATTACTGACTAGACACTGACTTTACAAGATATCCTTACTCGGATTTAATGATCTGTAGTTATAAAACTGGCCAATCACAGTCGTTCCATTCTTCCGAGGAAGTTATGATTGGCCAATTTCATAACTATGAATATTATTAAACCCAATTAAACGTATGTAACAGAGGTCAACTTTAAATAAAAAAGATTTCTGTATTCATACCATCTGTGTGTAATAATCAAAATTAAAGAAAGAGTTAAGAGTAAGAAAAGAGTTACTTTTGTTAATGAAAAATTTAGGAATATTTGTGAAACATAATGAAAGAAAATAGATTTCTGGAACATTAAAAAATATTCTGAAATATTAAAACGTGAAGATATACAGGGTTGGCCATATTCGACGGAAAGATGTTTTTTTTTTTCAATCATGGGAAACGTCGTTACTCGATCTAACATCTCTTTCCAATCAGGCCAACCCTGTAATAGAATTATGAGAATGTTAGAATCATCAAGTCACTTAAAATAGTGCAATACAAAAATGAGAATAAGATCATACCTAGAGCTGTCTTCATTTTTATTAGACCAGTCCCTTATTCTCTTTCCAGAATCTTCCATTCTTTCTGCCTAAAATACATACAAATAACCGATAATAAAGAAATGCAAGAATAATGTAAAATACAGGTTGTCGTGAAATCAACTCTTACTTCTACCAACTCTCCAATTTTATACGATTCCATCATTTGCCTAGCATCAGTTGAATGTCCAATATCTTCGAAAGCTTCTGTAGCATCTTGTCCGTGTTGTTCCAGGAGTACCTCCTCACCACCAGGATGCTATTAAAGAAAATTAACATAACAGAATAGTTTTAATAAAAACTGTATATTTAAAAAATATAAATATTTAAGTAAACAAAAATAAAGATTCAAATTGAATTCAACAAAGATCAGTATCGAAGCTTTTTTGTGAAAAGAAAAACTACAACCTCATTGAGAAACGAAGTGACATTGTAGACATTATTATGAATGATGATCCATGTATCTTTGGAAGTTTCAGAATGTTTTTCCACTTCTGCTCGCGTAAAGAGTTTGCCAGCTGAAGTAGCGGCGGTGTCGTCTTTAAGATCCTTAGTTGCCATCTCAATTAGTGTGTTTTTAACTTTCCGTTGACGAGACTCGAGACTCACTATCCTTTAACAAACGACTTGTGTCGATTGACTCAGCGCTTTTTATCTTTTCTTCTTCGTCACCGACGATATTCCTGTCAGAGCATCAACCAAATCTATGGTACGACGTAGTAACGTTTACAAATAATTCGAAAGTTGGACTTTGGTTACGATGTAATCAGCGTTTTTGATAGATCTTGATAATTTTGAGTTATCATCAGTCGTTCGTGTTTAACTTGATTCCTGAGAGAATAAAGAGAAACTTGTATGATTTTTCAAGCTATTCCGGATTAATTTGCGAAGACGTCGTATGAGGGCAACACGATCATAGTCCAACGCAGAGGTGCCAACTGTCAAGAACGTAAAGAATTTCACCAACGTCAGTTACTTAATCGGCCGTTAACTGACCAATCATATTTATTATTTAGTAGAATTGACCAATTACGCTTATTAGTTAATTCCGATTAAGATTAATCGACGTTGGATATACAATATAAATATTTATAATCAAAACCGATTATATATATTGTATACAATATGTCGTTGGTATAGATATATTTGTCATATTGCTTGCAATGCTTGCACTTTTTACGTCTTTGTTCTCTCTTTTCAACATCCGAATATATGAGTGCGTTCTGTAGAACGCAACAGTTTTGCTTCGTGTCTACGATGCTAGAAATTGATCCGAGATCTCGAATGAAAAAAGAATTGACCAATTGTATGGTCATGTGATAAAGGTTACGGTCCACTTAGCGCTTCAAACGCTACAGAGCATTTGTCTGTTTGTCAGCATTTGTAGCACATGACTGGTACATTTGATGCTTCGGAACGCTCTTTGCGATTCTGATTACGTCATCAATACGTTATCATTTTTGTTCCCGTTTCGCTCCAACTGCCTCGTCTCAGGATTCAGGGGATGAGTCTGGTGGGTCGGCTGGAGCGTTCACGTAGCAATTGTAGCATTTGGAACAATAATGGATCAATCGTAGCATTTGGAGTGTAACGTTCAGGGGCTCGATTGTATTTTGAAATGAGGTGAAAATTACAAAAGTGAGCAATAATTATTAGATATTGATCAATTAAATTATGAATATTCTAGTGAATTTGTTCATTTTTGTAATTTTCACCTCATTTCAAGATACACAATCAATCCCCAGAACATTTAGAAGAAGCAAGCGGACCGCAGCCTAAAAGATATCTTAACAATTTAATCGTCTTTTAAACGACTTTGTGCTCTCTGGGGAGACTCCGGGGAAGCCTCATTGAAAAACGATGACATTACCGATAATTAATAAAAATTTACTATTATATTAACACAAATATTTCGATAATTTATTATTAAATTATTTTTATTATATAAATGCTGTATAAATAAGTATGAAAAGTTATAATTTTTTCTCTGCAGTTATCATCTCATATTGATTATCAAATTCGAATGATAACATTCAAATCGCAGTTTTAAATAAAAATCGAGTATTATTAAGTTTTAAACACATATACATGTTTACGAAACTAATAAATCATGAAGTTAATATCTTATTATCAGTTTCTTACTCTAATGCTCATTCCACCAATGTAATCTTTGGAACTAGAAAAAGATGAAGAGTAAGTTGAATCGAGATTAAAGTTAATCTATATTGGTAGAAACGAGCATTACTCATTTAAATTTTAACAGACACACGAACTTCCATAAGTGCTGATCGTCTTTAATAATATCTCGTCGGTGCTTCTGTTCATTAATTAAAATTTTATTTTTATAAAATTATATTAATAAGAATTATCAACAAAAATTATATTTCATTAAATAATTAATATTATTTAACGCATAAAAGACTAAACTCTCTTCTTTCGTCCTGAATCATCTTTAAAAAAAAAATTATTATATATAATATATTTTCTTTTCTTATAATTCAGATATAGTTAGATATGGTAATCGTAAAGACCGGTTTCAGTAGCTGAACTAGTGTACACTTTTAGAACTTAAAGTGAGATAAGTATACGTGATATTATTGTCAAAAGCGAGAAAGAGTTCTAGAGCAGTCTAGAGCATGGTGGAAGAAGATATTTTCCATCATGGTCTAGAACAGTTTAGAGTGGTCTGGAACAGAAAACAAACTATTTAACGCAATGGAGAAACGATGATACCACAGTTGTGATGCTACTACAGTTGAATACACATAGTGCAGTCTGTGTTGATCTGGGAAGACTGTAAGAAAATAATAGCCGAACTCGCCGTTTTTCAACAGCGAAGTAGGCGATTAAAGGAAAAAGAAGAAAAAGAAAAAATAGTTCGATAATATGAATCTCATCAAACACGTTCCGATACTTTTACTAATTTTTACAAAATTCCTCGCGTTTGCACAAGGTGAACTTATAACATTCACTGTATTAAGTGGTGCATTAAGTGGTTTAGGTTATTACGCGTACGACAAGTACAAATGCAAGTACCAGGAATGCTGCACAGATGAATACAATCCATATAATTTCTTCTATAAAAAAAAATTTAGATTTATGTATTGTCATTAAATAGAATTGAAGGTATTTTCAATCCAATAAGTGATTCGTATATGTGGATTTATTTTTATTAAAAGTGATTTGATGCATTTATTTTCTTTAATATTTTCTGATGATCATTAATTATCATTAGTTCTTGTTTAACTATTAATTTGAAATCAGAAATAATTTAATTATCAATTTATATATCAGAATATTGTAATTTATTTGGTAATTATACAGTTTAGTTTCCGCAGCTTAAAAATCAATAAAATTAGACTTATTCGATGCGTTTTTGTATACGAAAGAATTTGCCAGAAAAAATGCCGCTCTGCTTCACGAACAGAGATATTAAGCGTTGAAGTTGATTACTATTGAGGTTAGGAAATCTGTCACAGAGGCGGAACGGTCTATATATAATGTGTTGTACTGTGCACATAGATTTCGACTTTCACCCCTTCCTTTTCCTCTGCTAAGGGGCGCATGATTTCTATTCCTTTTTTTTTCGTTTAAATGCAAAAACGTATCGAATAAGCCTAATTTTATTGATTTTTAAACTGTGGCTAAACTGTATAATTACCATCTATTTTTTTTTCTTTTTATACGTATACATATTTACACAGAAATATTAAAAAATTATTGAAATTATAGGATTAGAATATGCACTTACTGCTAAATTATACGGGCAACAAATTGCTCATGAAACGATCATAAATGCACTTCGGGGCCACTTGAAAAATTACAATTCGCATAAGGCATTGGTCATGAGTTTTCATGGCACACCAGGAACAGGCAAGAACTATGTCGTGCAGATGATTGCCAAAGCTTTTTATAAAAACGGTGTTCAGAGCAACTATTTCCATTTTTTCAATGGCCGTAATGATTTTCCTCTGCAACGAAAAGTAGATGACTATCAGGTATATATTCAAATATGTATAATTCATTATAATAAAAGAAAGTAAATTAATGGACAATTTGTTTTTGTAGGAAGAATTGTATAAAATTATTTTCAATGGTCTGCAACAGTGCGAGAGATCGATGTTTGTATTCGATGAGGTGGATAAAATGCCAGAGGGTCTACTAAATGTACTGGTACCATTTCTAGACTACAACAATTATCACAAATCCACTAAGAATAGCAAATCCGTGTATCAGAACAAAGCTATTTTTATATTTCTCTCAAACACTGGTAGCACCAAAATAGTGCAGCATCTCAAAAACCTGTGGGAGAAGGGCAAGAAACGGGAGGACACAAAACTACAGGATTTTGAAACACTCGTAGCTGGTGGAGCATTCACTGAAAAGGGTGGTTTCTATCATAGTGACACTATACAGACTAGTGTGATTGATCATTATGTGCCGTTTCTACCTCTTGAGGAAGTGCATGTTAGAAAATGCTTGGTAAGGTCTTTCACAGATCGAAGTGTCATTCCGACAGAGGAGATGTTACAGGAGGCACTGTCGTATTTAACTTTTGGCCCTGAGCCGCTTAATCTGTACTCGATGGCAGGCTGTAAGAGGATAGAACAGAAAGTTGCTACTATTGTGTATCGTAAACAATCAGAGTCCAAACCTATTGATTGAAATAATTTGAAATACTGAAATTTTTAATAAAAGTAATAATACTGATAAGACATTGTGTAAGTATTTATATAACATCTCGATAAGATCCTTTATTGATAGAATTTCTTATTGGCACACTCAGAAAAATATATGTCTAACAATTAAAAAAATAGTAAACTTAATTTTTCATACTTACAATAAAATACAATATATATATATATATGAAAGAGATAAATATTTTTGTCTATATATAGTTGTCTATATATAGTTGTCTATATATAGTTGTTCGATATAATTAGCAATATATCTAGTAAAAAGAGAATAATTTCTCAATTTTTTTCGAATAAATTTTTTTCCAATTTATCAATTTGGATGCTTGGAATAACAGTATTTTACAGATTTAATAAAATTTGGTGTATTTTTTTCTTAGGTTTAATACCTAAATATTACTATTCTATCCATTTGGACAGAATTTTGATTGGCACTAATTGAGCTTTACTATAAATTAATGTTGTTAGGCAGCATTTTTTTCGTAGACTTATAACTTGTTACTCCAAACAACAATCAGGAAAATTTACATATAATTACATTTTATCTAAATATATACAATATTATAAAAATTAATTAATAGACATCTGGGATATTATCAAGAATCATAACATCAATTTGCAGATTCAGAACATCAATTTGCAATTTTCAGAATCATAAAATAAATGTTGATTCTTTGATACATAATTAACAACTCGAAATGAATAATTTATGCAAATTTATGCAAATTTACGTTGCAGACTTAACGATCTTATTCTATAATGAGAAATTGCTCTCTTTGTTCTCTAATTACCGAACACCCTGTATACAATTTGTGTACGCATTTGTTCGCAATTTAAATATAACTAGAAATACTTTTTATTAATTGTACGGATAGGATTATGTACAATTAATATCTGGCAATTGACTCTGAAATTTAATCATAAAGAAAAAAGTTGTCGGCAAGAGACAGACCACCATAGAATATGCCCATAAAAAATGAAAAAAAGAGTGAATTAAAATGTATCTGCTAGCAGATACATTTTAAACGAAAAATTCACTTTTTGTTAGAGTTGAAGTGGAGAACTATGCATCTAAAATAAAGATGTTAATTCTTTGGTATGTTTTTTTTCTTTTAATTTTTGTTTAAGAAAAATTTAATTCTCGAACAAAACAAATCAATTCCTATTTAGGGCATTTTTATTTTTTTAGGGTAGGCACTTATATTTTTCTAAATCACGCGCATTTTCGAACAAACAACTTTAATCTTTATGATATCATCGCCTAACGATAATCAGGAATGTCGCATCGCAGTAAAATATATATATAAAATATATATTTACGCAATTATCCTTATAATTCTATACACATAGCTAACAATATTTTCCTAAGTTGTCTAAGTGAAGCGCCAGACATATATCGATATTATGCGTTTGGATCTTGTTAAACACAATAGAATAATAGTACCACTCAGAGAAAGATTTTTTTCAATTCAAAGAAATGTTTCTTTGCTATATGGTTAAAGAAAAAATTTCTTTGATTTAAACATTATTTTTTTAAATCAAATAAAATTTAAAGAAATTAAAGAAATTCAAATCAAAGAAAGAAGTTCAAATCAAAGAAATTTTTTTTTAACTATATAGTAAAGAAACATTTTTTTAAATTGAAGAAACCTTTCTTTAAGTGATCGAAGTTGTGCGTGCGCTATGCAAGTTGTGCATATATTTATCTATAATATATTTTTTTATACAATGCAAAAATGTCTCGTGAATAAACTCATTTTCTTAATCTTTTCTACTGAGGTACGCGTCGATATCATGATTGCAATATAAAATGATTACCGATGTTTATCAGCCAGGTCAACAAATGGTCAACAAATTAGATAGTTGCATATAAAATTTCAGGTTTTACAGTTCCAAAACAGATATAAAAAAAGATTTATAATAATATGATTTAAATCATATCCAACCTTGTATATTATAGCATTTTATTTTTTACGTTTTATCTTCAGTTTAACATCACACAATTAAAAAAAAAATCAAATAATATTATACGTATCTCCTACAGAAATATTTTAGAAATTTTAATATTAAAAATATAAAACTTGATAATTTAAATTTACATAAAAAGGATGCAATTAACTGTAAAAGAAATGTAATCCTATTCCTCCTCTACGTACTCTTTTGGAAAGAATCCTATTTGATCGCCTATTTTACCTTTCCACCATCCTTTGGCATCACCTTCCTTGCTCAACACCACGACTCGACAACCACGTCGTAAGCTTAATTGATTGCGTTCGCAGCCGCGGAAGTCGAACAATGCCTTGGCCAAGACACGCCGGTAGGGCCATAATAGACGTTGATCTAATTTCTCGAAGTTCTCTGAGAGTGATGCCCGCTCGTAATATTCGACCAATTCAACAACGCTCTTGAAAAATCGGGACTCGCTGAGATAGTATAGATCCGCTCCATCCACGTCACGTTTGAATACTCGAATATGTTTTACCGCCCCTTCCGCTCTGAAAAAATATAATATTTAATGAAAGGCTTTAAAAAATTTAAATAAAATAAATAAAATTAGAAAAAAAAAAGTTTAATTCTAAATCTTTTTTATAGTTGTGTTCAATAGAAAAATTGTACGTTTCGGCTTTATTCAAGCCATGTTCAGCGATACATTTCAATATTTCAATTCTTTTGCTACTGCGCTATTACTCTCAATTGTTCTTTAATCTGTTTTATTAAATTGTTTTAAATATCAAGGGGAAAAGTATTATTTATAAATGTTTTTTTTAAATATTTTGATACAATTTATATATTTAAAATATTCAATCAATATTAAAATTCAACGACACAATTATATATAAATGATTTAAATATTTCTAATATAGCTTATTGTCAAGTGTAATGTAGAAATGAATGTATAAAAATTAAAGTTAAATTTTCCTAAAACAAAGAAATTTTTAGTCATTCAAGCTTACTTGATACTAAGGGCATAATTGGTTTCATGTTTGAGGCGTGGTTGTCCAGTAGGACGAACACGCAGCATGTAAGTGCCATCATCGCGGGATTCCAATTTATTGGAAGCTGCATCTCTGCCCATCTCCCCGACGAACCATAATTTCGCGGAGAGCGCACGTTCGCAGGGTAGTGGCGGTGGCGGTGTTGGTGACGTCGGCGTAGGCATACAACGACCCGAATGCGCGATACACTGTTTGTGCACGGCAAGGCGACATGTCTCGCATTTGTAGCCCTATATGATATAACACTCGATTAAACTTGTGATTTGGATTTTCTAATATTTTGAGAGAGATCAAGAAGTAAAATTGCAAATTTGGAAAACGTATAAATTGTTGATCTATACATTGCGCATTGGTCATTTTTTTATAACTTTAAAGTATCTTAATTCTTTAAATAGAAATGTAAATTTTAAAAGTTATAATTCTATATCTTATTATCTATATATAATTTTTAGCATAAATTTTACACATTTGAATTGTATATTCTTCGTACAATTATAAGTAGTTGATAGTGCAAAAACTTTAAATATATCATTAACTAATTATTACCTGAAATATGCGGCCTTTAAGGAATTTTCCACATCGTTGACAGCTTTTAGGAGTATCAAATGTCGTTAACTTGAATTTATGATTGGTATTTCGACAGGCTGCGGGATTAACATTATCCATCGCATCCTGCAATGCTTTTATCCATATCTGTTTCTGCTCTTCTGTTCTCGCATATAAAGTATATGCCGTGTATGCTTGTTTATGTACAAGTAGCCATTGATAGGACCAACGTGAATCTCTGCCTAAAGTTCGGCGTCCTATGTGATCTTCCAGTCTATAGTCATCTAATCTTAGAGTTTCCCGATAACAATATTGGTCTCCTCTGCCAGCTTTGCAAATCAATACCACTTGCTCGAATACGAATGCATAACGGGCTTTTATCCGTTGGTCGCCATGAGCTTTCACCTGCAGAAAAACTGAATTAGCCACGGTTCCATATTAAGTTAACTTTAAGTCTATTGCAATGTTTTCTTGGAAATTAACAAACTAAGTGTACATATTTTTGTTTGATAATATATTAGGCAAACCTTAAGCTCGCCGTCACGAAGTAATCGGCCGAAATCCTTCAGCTGCGCGTCTTCAGGAACATCCCAGTCGATTATCGATGCTTGGATGTCCTTTATGATGTCCAGTGTGTCGGAATCGCGTTTCACTTCATTTATGTATTGAGCAACATCGACCATCACTTCCCTGGCCTTCGCCAATGCACGGAAATCCTCTATCCACTCGCGAGGAGTTTCCTCTACCAACTTATCCAATAGCAAGTGATACTTGAGCACCCTCTGCATCGGCACAGATAGTATATCGCTCAGCTTAAATTTATTACTATTAGCTTCTTGCTCACACCTCTGCAATAAATATCACTGTTAAAATAGCTCAAATATATTACCTTCTTTAGTTAATTAGTAATTTTTTTGGCAGGAATTTTTAAAGATTATATCGTAGTAAATTTGGCAAAATATTAACTTCTTTTTCCTTATAAAAGAACTGAATGTAAAGCATTAATTATCTTTGATTAATTTAATTTGATCGTTTAATTTGATGATTTTACGATTTGCATCATGAAACTTACGACAACTTCTTGATTGACTATTTCGTTACGCGAGCAGGCTTCTTGCAGAGTATATTGTGCTAGGGTGAGATTTGCGCAGTAATCGCCGTAAATGAGGAACTTCTCTCGCCAGTCGAGGAAGACTTGGGCGATTGCGGCGCTGTTTCGCGCCTTACGTAGCTGACTGTGGAAGCCCACATGAATCTCTGAGAGTTGCTTGATACCGAAGAAAATACGAGCGGAATCTTCGGGTCGGAGTAACGACGACAATGGTCGGACGAATTGTCTAAGTAGGTTACTGAGAACCTCTGTATAATTTCGCTCAGTTTCCACGAGTTCCTGGATTACGTAATCTCTTTTCTCTCCTCCAGAAATGGCACTACTCTGTTCCACGGAAATAATCTCGATGAATAGAAATGCTTTTATGCAAATTATAAAGTAATATATACAAGGTGTAAAGCGGAGCGCATGGTGAATAACAAAATTAATCATATATGAATACGGTAATAATAAATTCACTGTCCTATGGATAACACTGAGATTAAATACTGAATACATTCATATAATATTTCTGCATTTTAATACATGATCTTTCTGATTAGCTGCATCTCCTTCAAGTGATGATCGAAAGGGAGGTTTGAGAATATTTTATAATATAAAAATTATAAGAAAACAAGAGAAATAAGGACAAACAATGATGACCTGCGCAACTGACGGAGGTGGTGGTAAATGTAGACTACAGAGGTCCTGATAGATCTCTTCACTCTGCGCGTGGCTGCAAAAAGCTCCATACCCATCCTCTTCGCCGACTGGATCCTCATTATCTCCTCCGCTACCAGTTTCGTCGCCTTCGCGTCTCCTAAATCTCCTGCGACGACCCTCATCTTCGCGGCTTTAGCATAAAAACACACAAAACAAAAATATGGCCATGCACTATGGCATGCATACTGGTGAGAATTGCTAAGTTCTCGGCAAAAATCAAATCATAATACAGCACAATTATAAAGTCTGCCACTGATAACACTGCGATCGATATCTAACTTCAACCTGAAGAATAAAACAATACCATCATTGTATCACATAGACGGTATATATATATATATATATATATATAATTTAATTTTAATGCATCAACATGTTATTTAATGGTATATAATATTCGTGTATGTGTATATATATTTCGAAAAAAATATCATTTTGAAGTTTGTGCTTCATAAAGCACAATAAAGATCCTGAAATAGAGCCTCTTTCATACAGAAATATCCGTTTACATCAAAAATATACCATGCACAATAAAAATCCATCTGTATAAAAAATATATCATGCATAATAAAAATTTTCAATATTTAAAAAATAGCTTTTCTTAGACTAAATGTAACTTATAATATTTCCCAAAATAGTAAATTTAGTAATTTGTATAAATGAAACAAAGCTGGGGCAAATTTGAGTTTTAAATCGTATCATATCATCTTGTTTATGTATTTAAGAATGTTTTGATTCGTGCTTTGGATCATTTACTATTTATAGATTGAAGAAGCTGCATTTACGAAAGAGAAGGATACAATGATGGCTGATATTCTTTCAGTAAAAAATGTTCTTAAGGTTGTTAAGCCATAAAATGGCGTATACCTTCTCCGCAGAAGGCCAGTTACGTTGAGAATTACTCGAGAAGTAGAGCAATTCTTCATAAACCCGAGACTCATCTACGTCCACAGTCCTAGTTTTTAACGCCACGTATCCATATGTGGCACTAAACCAATTAACATAAAAGTTAACTAAACTTTCAATTGTTATTTTTCGAAAGCCAAACAGTGTAATTACTTCTTTTATCGATCGTTATTAAGAAGAAATACACATATATCTGTATAACGTGAATGGAAAGAGAAATTTTATTTTAATAAAGAGACAAACCTTAATATTTTAGAATTAAGATATAACATTTCTTGTCATTTAATATTCAATGATTTGTATATACAATAATAAGTTATGAAAATGTAATTTAGTAATGGATTCTTACCCTGCTCCGGCACTTTGTAAATCCTTATAAATATCCTCTTGCGATCTTCCATGACCAACGAAGAATCCACTGTAAGAAATATGTATTTCCTTATTATTTCTTATTCATGTTATAATTATTAATCTATTATTTTTCAATTGTGATAAATCAATTGATGATAATCAAATTTTAATGTGAATGAATGCAGATATCGACAGATTACTTACATTATACCCTTTCGCCTTAATCGTGGACAATTGGACAAGGCGGAGAGTGTGCAGAGGACGCGATGAAAGTTAGAAAGGTCGAATAGCATCGACGGCTCGAAGAGTTCCGAATCGGAGAGACCAAAAACATTCGAGCACGCTGATAAAAATACTTTTATATTACGCAAGCAAAGAAATTGTGCCATTTGTGGCTTTTGATTCACGTCTTTCATATCTATGCATCCTGCATCTACAATGTTCAATAGATTACACAGCAATACACCATCCCGTAATGTATAAGCCAAGTCGAATGCAGTTGCCTGTGGCCAATTGGCTTTGTGATCTGCTCGTAGTGCACCACATCTGATCAACCATCTGGCAGATTCATGCCAAGCCTTATTAGCATCCACACTGTCTGTCCTATTCATTTTGATACTTCTTTGTTCAACAGTTAGGACATTGAAGGCACATTTATAATTTTGTTCAATGGTTAGGACATTGAAGGCACAGTTATAATTTTGCAGATATTTCATGCATTAAATTCCAAGGTTCCATTCATCAGGCTGCTATCCTATTAAATATAAAAATATCATAAATTAAATAGATACAATTATTATAAAAAGAATATGTAAGTTCTTTAGCATTTATTATAATGTAAAAAAAAATTATTAAAAGATAATGAGATATTGAGGAGTTTGAACAAATTGAGATTACAAATACTAGCATGAAACTTTTTATGATAAATACTTAATTATGTGACATCCTTTCATAAAATTCAAGATAATTATTAACATAAAAATTATATTATGAAACATTGAATATTATAATGTAAGAAATAAAATATTTTTTTACACACATGCTTTAATATTCATTGCAATAATTAATAAAATAATTCTAAAATAATAATTATATCCTCTGCTAATACAATAATATATATTCATATTATTATACACACTAAAGTAAAAACTAATACACTTGTGTCAATAAGGTTTTATCCTTATTATAAAAGCTACATTCATATACCACGAAAAAATGTTAACGTAAAAGAATTTTCCTACAAAATCGCCGTTAGAGAGATCAATCTGTAAGATTATCTCATCTGTCGCGCGTATCGTGCGTGATCTTTATCGTCTCTCAATCTCGGCTATTGCAAGTGGACTGACCGACAATTCCAAGCCGAGCATCTCTCGAACCATGGAAGGGCCTCTTCGGGACACTGAAACGGAAGTCATCGCGCAGCTTGTTATTCTCTCGGGGCCAACGGTACTCAGTGCACGATCCGTTGTAGCGGCGTTCGTGGATTCGCTCGGTAGTCCGTGGATGGTACCATCGGCTATCGCGGCATCCCTTCTTCTGCGAAAAGGGAGAAAGACCACACGAACGTAAAAAACGGAAGAAAGGCGATAAATGCACGGAACCCTTTGGAGAATCCTTAGAAACTGGAGTTACCGCAGTGCGCGTGTATAGTGGCGTAGCCTCGTGCTGCACGTCGCGCGTCACTCAGTCATTTTTACCGCGACACTTGTCGTGACGTTCATACCGCGTTACCTGCATACGATGAATTCGCATCCGCCATACCACCAAGAAACTACTGCACGAATTGATTGTGACTGACGATATCGCTACTCTATTCTCTCGTCCGAGCAATGCTGAGCGGTGAATCGCTCCGTGCTCCGTCCGCTGGGTCGATTGGATATCCCACAGGAGTCAGGACCGGCAACACGCGTTCGGGAGCCTTGCGCATGTCGGGACGGATGTCGCGACGCGACCGGATGTAGATTTTTTTTCAATTTCATCGCGCCGAATTTTCGCTATTTTGATTTTTGTTCGATGAAAACCAAAGAAGCAAAACAAATTGCACGAATCAAAATGTAGGGATTAAAAAAAGTAAAATATAGATTTTTAATTTAATAAAATTTAATAAAATTAATTTAATAAAATTTTAATATTTTCATATATTGTAGGTACATTATATATATATATTTTTAGTAATTATATTTTTAAAGATTTTTAGTATTTGTTCGTGTAATCTATAAGTATATTAAATTAATTTTCTTTGTGTTTTAAATATATAATTCTATAGCTTTTTATACATAATTTCAAAGTTTTAAATGCAAAGCAAATTGTATTAAGACTTCGATCGAACTTTGATTAATTTAATCGACGATTAATTTAACTAGCAGAATTGCTTAAAATAAAATTTCTGGTTATATAATTTATAATCCCTAATCAAACTTTTTGTTAATTAACAAAAATTAATTATGCTACCTTACTAGGATAATACAGATATTACTTAATAAGATAAACAATTAAATTTAGTAGTAGTTTTAAAGATAAATATTTCCTTATCACTTGAAGTTACGTGAGTAGAAGTATAATCGATTACTCGAATTTCTTAGATCGATCTTGTGATTTCGCGCTATTAAGTTAAACGTAGATTTCTCTTTCTCTCTTTCTTTCCATATTTATTATTTTGTTATCATTTATTATAATATTTATTAAAATATTTTTTTTTATTATACAAGTTACTAAAATTTTTTAAAATAATTTTCAGAAAATACAATGAGCAATAAATAAAATGAATACAATAAATATACAACATTTTTTTTTCAGTAAACAATAAATTAGAATATTAACAAACTAGAACAGCGTTCAAATTGCATTAAAAATAGATACACAAGATAGAAGTACAAAATTAAGTAAATTATGTGTACAATAAATGAATAATAATGTTTCGATATTCCGTTTTATTTCCTCAAAACTTGGTTTTTTCATCTAAAGAACAATATAATCATAATAATTAATAACACGTTATTATTTATGTTATTTTTAGTAAGTATAAAATATAATATAATTATAAATTATAATATATAAATTGTAAATAAGTTAAATAATTTATAATAGTGTGACATATAATATTATACGTAAGTGATAACCTGATTTTTTTGTATATCCTGTATATATAATGTTAAAACTATTTCCATCATGCATTATATTCATTTCTTGCAGTAAAGACTTTCATATTTTATTACAGGAATGTAATGCACAGTCTGGATGCATCGGACGCATGAAAGTGACTATGTGACGTCATTAGTGGTCTTCATTCTTCATGGTCAGTTTTCTTTTTTATGCGTCTCTGGAGGTTGGAGTCTTCTGAAGTCTTCACGAAACCTTCACATTTATATTATTGGAATATCTGCTCTACAATACAAACTCTATAGTGTCGATATCATCAATCGAAGAAGCAACTTGTATAAAAGAGTAGGTGAACATATTTTCTTAGAGTGTTCTGTGTATTGATGCTCATGATGTATCATTTTATTATTAATTGTTGTTAACGGAATATATCAAAGAAAGATAATATAATATATCATATACATCAGATGTAAAATAGAATGCATTCTTAAATGCATTTCTCATTTCGATATATATATATATATATATATATATATATATGTAAAAGTTTTCACATGGTGCTACTGCATTCTCAAAGGTCATTGTGTGAACATAGGCGCAGATTGCATGTGGGGGCGATGTACAGCATCGCTCTGACGTTATCTACGTGTGGAGGCGGCGCGCTATCGCTTTGTCTTCTTCAAATATCTTACTTTTATTGTGATATATTTGCCTTTAAAATGTTTAAGATAATATAACATTTTGGTTGAAAAATGATAATGCGTGAATATTTTTAATATATTGACTCTAAAAGATTTTTGACACAAATTATTGTTGAATTAAATAGCAGAAAAATTAATGTAATATTAAAAAATTCAAGGAAGAAAAACAGATTTAATTTTTTTTTTATTAACTCCAAATAAACATTTTGTTAACTGAAAATGAGATTTAATAGAATTTTTAATATTAAATTTTAATATACTGTATTAAGATATATTAACAGATCAATAAAATAAATTGTGAAAAATAAATTTTCGAAAATACTTCATTTTTATAAGGATATTTATAAACATAAAAAAATCTATTTCTATTTATAAGAAGATATTAATAAACTTTTACAATTTATACAAATTTATACAAATTTTTCATAAAAATATTTATATCTATTATATAATATAAATTTGGAAATATAAATATTTATTTTATGAGTTTCGAAAATATTATTTTATTAAAAATAGCTGAAATCAAAAGATAGATTATTATTTTTCATTATTTATATTTTTCATTATTTATGTAACGAATGCATTTAATACAAGTACAATGTTTTTCACAAAGAAATGGAAGTAATTTTTCATCCAAATTTGATTGGATGTTATTCTTTATTATTATTGGATGTTACTTCTTTGCAATTTTTTTTGAAAATTGCTTTGACGACAAGAAATAGTAGCTTTTATCGTTTTACAGTTTTAAGTGTACAAATAAGTTTCCGCCGTTTGACAAAAGACGGCGCCACTAGCAAGCTATGGTTAAAATTGTCTGATGTAAAACATTATATCATAAGGTTGGACATCTGTCAACAACATAACCTTGAAATACTAGTGATTTTGTATCAGCATCATATATTTTTTTTTGTGCGAAAATGCCGAGTTTTGAGCCGAATAAGCGGAAACTTTTGATTTACTTAATTTGAACAAATCTGCAGCTGAGGCTCATAGATTGCTTGTAGAAGCATATGATGAGGCCTTAAGTGAGAGAAGTTGTCGTGAATGGTTTCAAAAATTTAAGAACGGTGAATTTGATGTCGAAGACAAAGAACGTAGCGGAAGGCCGAAAGTGTACGAAGACACGGAATTGGAAGCATTATTGAATGAAGATTCATGCCAAACGCAAAAAGAACTTGCACTTACATTTTGACTTATATCAATAAAACATTATGTATCGTTCTTTCACAATAAATACTTAATTTTTTGATAAAAAACTTATTTGTACACTTAATACATTTTACACAACTGTATTTTTATCACTATGCAAGCAATTGTAGAATATTAACGATAATGATTGCAAAGGAAACAATTATTTTCATGGCAAATTAATGTTGTTGCAGCTGTCTTTATGTGTAAATTTGCATGTGTTTCAGATGGAATTTCGATAGAAATACATGAAATTCACTGCAACGAATCGAAAGTAATGCAGACCGAACTATTCAGCTTTTGTTTTATAATTTGTTGTTACGATGTAATCGAAATGTAGCAGTATATGTACATATAGCAGAAGTGTGTATTTGTCGATATATTTTAATTAACACATTTTATGTCATAACTTATATATATATTTAATGTCTGCTGGTTCGGAGAGCACACATCACGAAGCAGTGTGCTCGCGATCGCTACGAATTTTTCTTGAGTTTGGATATCAATCACATAATTTGATGATGTTCTTATTATTATACATAAGTATTTTGTTATTTACATGCAATGCAGCAAATCCTCAGTGTAAAGATGAAAATAATCAAGTTGTCGATTGGTGAGTGCCTTCAATATATTACGTATTCTTATGTTTTTAAACTGCTAGTCACAAATTATAATAATTTTTAAAGATTTTAATAATTTTTAAAAAATAAAGTCGATTGTTTTAAGTTACTACAATTTATAAAAAAATATTTTACAAGGACCAAAAGTGGAGGCGCGTTTGAAATACGATTTGCTGCAAAAGATAATCCTTTGTGCTTATATTAAGAATCTCAAATTCTAGCTACAGACACCTCTTAATTTTTTCAAAAATTAATAATAAAAATAAAAATTTTGATGTTCTTAGGTTGATTAATCACAAGATAATAAATCTTCTAGGGAAAAAAGGAAAAAAGTTAAGTATTGTACAATATTTTAGAACTAATTGACTTTTATTTGAAGTATAGGCAGTATAAATGTATTTCGGATTAAAACTCGGATACAACGTTGCTATCTATTGCATTGTCGAGATGATGGTAAAAGTGCATAATTCGAATTGTATTTATATTTGTGTACAAAAAAGTTAATTGGCCTTAGAAAATATTGAACAATTGTATTTATATTTATGTATAAAAAAGTCAATTGGTAAAAAAGTCCTAGAACATACTGTAATACTTATATAAGTTTTTCCTTCTTTTTTTGAAATTTATGATTCTTTCATTGACAAATGATTAATCAATACGATGACTTCAAAGTTTTTATGTTCTAATATTAATTTTTGAAGAAAAAAATAAAGAAAGGACTAAAGTTAGAGTTTCGGTTTCTTAAGCACAAAAAATTATTTTTTGCAATCAACTATTTTAGCGCGTTTCTACTTTAAGTCCCTTTCCTTAAATTTAAGAATAAATAAAACAATATAAATAGTATGTGAAAAATAATAAATAATATTTAATATTTAATACGTATAAAATTCACATACAATTTTTTAATTGTTGTAATTATTAAATAACT